CCATGTCTAGTCCTCCAAGGAGCTGAAAAGCAGCCATAAGTTTTGAGTTCTTGTGAGTAATGACCTGAAATGGGTTGTCTTGCTTACCTGTTTTCTTTTCCGTGCATGCCATTGGATTGTTTATGTTGCTAATATGATATGTATTTTTACCAAATCATTCTTAATGAAATTAGTTTACTTCCACCTTTAATCCTCTCTGGGTAAGCGTTTGAAATGATCATTGTCAAAGATGGCTAGTTTAGCAAGAACAGATGGGAAATAGTTCCAAATAATTCTCAAACCATCTTAACTAGAGTTTGGAAATGAGGCACTCAAACATTTATCAATAACATCTTTTCAAAATTTTAGTTGGCTGAATTTAGTTTTCCCTCCCTATCTTAACTAGAATTTTTTCTGGTTTTGCAGTGAAGTTGTGGTTTCAGAATATAAAATGTCCACGGTAGGTTTAGGTGATGTGATTTCTTCATCATCACAACCTACCGGATACCAATCTGCCTGGGTGAGGGTTCCAGGTCAGGTATCAATGTCTGATATCGTTAAGATGGGCAGGCCACAAAACAAGGCTTCTGCCATGCCAAACTCTTCTCAACAAAGCACTAATAATAGGCATCATGCGGTACCTCATTCGGCCGCATTACATTCTAACTTACAGGATCATGTTTCCAAGGTGTTAGATGTTACTTATGAGCCTCATGTCAACAAAAACCAGCATGATTCTCCCAGGGATGAATGGCCCCCCATTGAGAACCCATCTGCTGCTAGTGTGACCTCTGTCGTAGAGGCATCTGCAGAATCTGGACTTGCTATGCATAATGCATAACACTTAAAGTCCCAGTTGGAGGAAGCTCAGGCAGTGGATGATGGTCCTCTTGAAACAGTCAATAGTGACCATGTTAAGTCCCCTTCTATATCAAGTAGAAATATACAAGAGGATAATTCTAGAGGTTCATCACTTTATGATAACGACTTATATAAGGATATGAATTCCTATCAGCCTCAAGGACATGCCTTTGAGAATGATGGCGGTTAGTGTAGTGCTTTTAATTACTCAATTTTTTTTATTTTCATGATGAAGGTAGTATACTGCTGTATACTGATGAAGGCATACATCGATTGCAATTTCTTTGACAACCCATTTCTGATTGATTTGCTGTATGGATATGTATGTTTTTTGGTTGCTGAATTATTTGTGTTGCCTTTCCCTTCCCAATGACAGTATCATATGTTCCTAGCTTCTTGAATTTTATCATTTCCCCTTTATGTACTGTATGGATTTGTGAGCCTGAACTCAAAAAAACTATCGGATGAATGATAGGAAACAGTTGAGTTATTTGTTTTTATTTGGGGGTGCGCTAGGGCAGGTTTATGAAACACTCGCACCTTTCTTGGCTCCCTCCTTTTTGATCCCCTCCTTGCCCTCCTCCCCAAATTATGGATTATCATGGATATAGATTTAGTTCATACCTAATTGTTATCCGATATGAATGTTTTTGGGACTTAACACCCTTCTATCTTCTTCCCTCAGCTGAAGATGGTTCTTCATCAGTTGCTGTGAATTTGCGGCAATTTAATTTAGCTAATGATGATCGGGAGCCCCCAACTGAAGAGGATACTGTAATAATTCCAAATCATTTACAAGTCCACACCCCGGATTGTTCACATTTGAGTTTCGGAAGTTTTGGACCTGGCATTGGTTCTGCCTTTTCTAGCCCATTTGCATCGATGGTCTCAAAGAATAATTTGGATGAGGTTCCTGAACCAGCAGATGCCTCATCTATCAGGCACTCAGATAATAGGTATGCTCTTCTTAAATTCTGAGTCTCTTGTTTTACTTATTTGTTCCTTACAGATATGTAAAAACTTTTGCTTCCAGAGATCCTGAGTATTATGGTGACGGCCATCTCAGGAGTAACTCAGAGGGAGATATAATAAATAGAAGTAACATTAGCACTGGGAATTATGAGGTACCTGAAGATTCTCGGCCAGAGGTTTTGAAACAGGATGCTTCTGAAGCTGCCCAAGGAAGCCAATACGCATTTCCTCCATCTGCGCCTGGTTATAACTATGAAAACCCAGAACAGTTAAATCCTGCTTTCACTCACATGCAGGCAAGCGCTCAAATGCAAAATCTCGATCCTTTCTCAAGTGTAATGGTAATGCATCTTTACTATACAAATAAAATTTATTATTCCAAGCTGATGATTCAACCATATTCCTTACAGTTGGATCAGAAAATTTCTTTTATTTATAAATTTCTGCTAGATAGCAGCATCTTGAAAGTCTCTTCTGAACATAATGATTTTTGTTACAGCAAGGGCATACAAACTCATTGCCAAGCACCTTGTTGACATCCACTGTTCAGTCTGCAAGGGAGCCAGATCTTCCATATTCACCCTTCCCCGTTACTCAGTCAATGCCAATGAAATACATCAATGCCACCTCTTCCATCGGTGGTCCAACCATTACTATGCCGGAGGTATGCTTTGCTTTATTTTATTGATTTCTCAATTCTTTTACACTTTTCGCAGTTCCAATTGATTGTTGAACGTATTTAAGGGTTCAAGTGTCCCAGAAGGAAAAAAACATATTATTCGTTTATTCTTCTTTCTTGGCTAACATTTGCATGTGAACATGTGATGATCATTTAAATTTAGAGAAAATGGAAGAAAAACTTGGGAGAAGTTACTGTGGTCATTTGGTTTTGGTTTGTGTAAAAAGGGAGAAATAAGAGACAGCCAAGAAAGGACGAAGATAAAACTATAAAATAAGTGTCCTATATGCAATTTAATGTTATTTGCATTTTTTTCAATTGGGAGTCTTATTTCAAGATTTTATGAAGCAAGATGAAACTTCATATTCTTATGATTAGTAGTGTCATTGTGTATGATGCTTTTATATGTGACCTGATAGCTTTTTGGTTGTGAAGACACATGTTCTATGGTGAAATGCAAACACCTTTGGACTCTTCTTTCTTATTATGTTTTTTTAAACTACTTTCTCAACATGTAACGTGACTTTTGACTACTTTTGTCCTTCCCCTTGGGCCTTGTTGTCCTCAATTCTGCAGCTGCCTCTACCTGATATGTATTTGATATTGATTATTGTGGGATCCACTTATTGGGGAATATGAGTCGCAACAACTGAAATATTTCTTGTGGAACGGCTTTCACAATCCATGGAAATATAATTCACCAATAGAAGAGTCAGAAAAGGGAGTTAAAACATGTAAAAAAAAAGAGAGAATTAGGAGTGACCTTCAGAAAGAAAAGAAAAAAAGAGTTGGGAGTGGGGGTTGTAAAAAGGAAAAGAAAAATCCTATTTGGACTCCTAACTAGAAAAAATACTATAATCGGTTGATTTTAATTGTTACTTTCCTGATTAACTTTAATGAACGTGTGCAGGCTCTAAGAGCAGCTAGTATTTCTGCACCACAGCCTACTCAACGCCTCGTGGTGCCAATGTTGCAACGGGACCCGCAGTTCCGCAACATCTAGCCATGCACCCTTTTTCACAACCCACACTTCCATTGGGACACTTCGCCAACATGATTGGTTATCCTTTCTTACCTCAGAGTTACACATATATGCCATCGGCTTTCCAGCAAACATTTGCCGGTAATAGTAACTACCCTCAGTCCCTGGCAGCGATGCTTCCCCAATACAAGAACAGTGTTTCCGTTAGCAGCTTGCCTCAACCTGCTGCAGTCCCACCTGGCTATGGGTTTGGGAGTTCTACCAACATCCCTGGACACTCTCTCAATCTACCTACTGCCCCAGCAGGCACAACCATTGGCTATGATGACGTTCTTAGTTCTCAGTACAAGGACAACAATCATTTGATGTCACTTCAGCAGGTAATTTCTCTACAAAGCATCGGGAGATCTCATTAGAATTGAATAATTTGCGCTTATTGCCAAATGATTGCGTATGATGAAAAGTATGTCCTTCCATTTTCTCCCTCTACACCAAAGGGTCCATGATATCTTGTAGTTCTACAGTATTTATGAATGGAGTTGTTGCCTTCTCTATGCTGCTTTGAATCTGATGGGGGTCCTTTCTATGTTTGTGTGTTTAGAATGAGAATTCAACAATGTGGATTCATGGACCCGGCTCACGAACGATGTCTGCTGTTCCTGCAAGCACATATTACAGCTTCCAGGGGCAGAACCAGCAAGCTAGTGGGTTTCGACAAGGGCAACCACCACCTTCACAGCATTTTGGGTCTCTCGGATACCCAAATTTCTACCATTCGCAAACAGGAGTATCGCTGGACCATCAGCAGCAAAACTCTAGGGATGGGTCCCTGAGTGGGTCTCAAGGCCAGCCACCATCAAAGCAAACCCAACAGCTATGGCCAAACAATTACTAATCTTGTCACCTCCTGGTTTTTCAGGGTCTTGTAGTTAGTGAGTTTAAAAGTGGACAATCAAAGGCCCTTCTCACGATTGAGAATAACTATACGTACGAATATGGTCGATGAAGGGTCTGAAGTGACCTTGACTGGCTACTACCCTGTGCTACAAGGTTGTATTCTACTTTTAATTTATTGTTCCGTTATGGTGTGGTATGTTAACTTAGGAACGCAGCGTGCTAATTTGTGATAGTGGACTTTTCACCCTTTTAATTAATCTGTTGACAAGCATAGGTAGCAACACAACAAATTGCCGCCACCATTGATACCCCCTTCATACCACTCATTTTATCATGGACAACAACCATGGCCGCCTCAACCCTCCAATGACATTTGCGAACAAAGCCTACAACATGGAACACCAATGCTAACCTACCGGAAATCGAAACCTGCCAAGCAATAGCAGTCCAAACTAGAGTCATAACATATAAAACACACCCATGTGTACTTATATTTTTCGTATCCCTCAATTTAAGAAGTGTATTTCACTGAAACAAATGTTCTTGGTACCAAATAAACCAATAAATGGATTTGTAAATACGTATTACATGTATTACTATTTTAGTTCGTGTAAATAAAGAAATTGATAATTAAAAATAAAAGAAAAATATATTACTTGAGATACACACACTACGAATTGAATCTAAGAACATAAAATGGATAAATCAAGACTTAATCAACAAACCAATATTACAACTATAATTAAAAAGTATGCTAACCCAGCGGTTTACTCTGTTACCAGCATAGGCTCCAAAAATAGCATCACAAGCAAAAAACACCAATACCATCCTAAGCATCCTCATTTATATTGCACCCAAAAATTGGTACAAAAAATATATATCCCAAGCACATCAGGTATAGCATCGTTACAAAAAGATAAATCCTCCGGCTCTCTTCCCCATGGCGTGCGCGTTTATGTGAGGAGAGATCGTGCAAGACGTTCGCGTGCAGTAGCCAACGCTTGAGTTAACGTCTGTACAAACATCAATGTGTTAATATGTTGGCAATAGTTATTGGTGTGTTTCACTAGTTGCAGAATTCAATTCTGCATTCTGATGGACGATATAATCTGAAGAAAAATTAGTATTATGAACAAGTGTTGCTGTTTCAAGAACAAGGGTCATAGTACCTGCTCCGACAATGGTGCTTCGTCGTCCATGCTATGACTAGCAACCTTTCCGGCAATAACATTTGCATCGGTTTCAAGAACGATACTGCCAATAGATAGAAAACAGTCAAAGTGGATGATAAGCATCCAAAGGAGAGAGTTACTTCTAGTGACTCTCCTTTTTTTTTTTTAAAAAGCCTCTCTTTAAAGCCTTCCGTGAAAGGGAACAGGACTGAGAACTGGGAAAAAGGATTCACCAAATGGCAGTATCCTAATCCTGCGTCTATGTTCAAACCATGCTCCTCCAGGGGCCCTTTACTTTTATGCTTATTTAATTGACTGAGAACTGGGAAAAAGGATTCATCACATAGCAGTATCCTAATCCTGCGTCTGTGGTCATGCTCCTCCGGGGGCCCATACTCTTACTTTTATGCTTATTTAACTGACCTCCCACTTTCTAGTTTCTTAGATAAGAATTACGAATGCTAGAGAGCCTTGGAAATGTGTTTAGAAAACAAGCAGAAAAGATAAAATGGGAAAACGGATATGACTTATCAATCCTATACAGAGAAGGAGAAGCAAAGATCCGAGGCTTAGCTAACAGCTCTTTTAGTCTCAATCTAGCTGAAACGAAACTTTTGCAAAAATCACTTGACCTTTGTTTGACCAAATTCAACATAGTTTCTTTCCTTTTCTTTCCCAATTCAATGCATCCAAACATAACAAGTAATAAAAGTTCTAAATGCTAGTCTTTTATTTTTCTTCTTTTCTTCTGCCCACCTTCTCACTGGCATCGTTAAGGGTTAAAATGTATGATTATTGCAAAGCCAACCAAATGTTTAACCAACAGTATTTAAAAAAAAGAGGGAGGGGTGGAATCTAGGGAAATTTCAAGCCAAGAATTGTACTAGAGACATTTGTAATAACAGTTGCAAGGAAAGAAGAATGGTCTACATAATAAAGAAACAAAGGTATATAACTTCAAATATAATAGTAAATGAATGATAACATACCGCCATCAACATCTCATCGAGGCACAAGAAAATGAGATCTAAGTTTTCCAGCACCTCTGGAAAGAGGAAAAAGTCAAAATTGGGCATGATGATATCAAAAACACGTGTATCAAAAACGGTAAAAGTAGAAAGTGTAATGAAAAAACCTGAGGATAAGTCCAACTGCATCAAAAAAAACCCTGGAGGCCAAGATTATCTCATTTTCATTTTCTCCTCCGGTAACAAAAAAGTGAAGGTCTTGAACAAACTTGTAGACGACAACATAGTCGTCAAACATCGTTATCTCAGCTGTAAACAAAAACATAAAAATGAAAAAATAAAAGCACCATGTTAAAATTGTAGCAAGAACCAGTACCAGTACTTAAACCAATACCAATCCAGGATTTTTCCCCCTCATTCACCAGCATAGAGCAAAGCTCAAATACTATGTCCTTAGATAAACCCTTTTATCCACAAGCAAACAACCTTCTAAATTCTCAAATCCAATGAATCGATTAAACTCACAATTGGACATATCTTCCATACAAATCTATTTGATTACATTATACACTCAGATCAATAAAAAGTAGGGAAGCATTAACAGATAAAACAAGGTGCAGAGAAACAAGCAAAAGCTTCCTTAGCGGAATTCGTCGGCCAGTCATCTGAGTAATACTTCACATCTACTCGTTTTCCTTCGGAATCCAAAAGAAGGATGTTTTTAATTAAAGGGCACAACTCCTACAAACAAGAGAAACAAAGATCATGAAATTTTCAATTCAGAAAGAAAGCTCATAAAGATTCAACTAATCAAGCCAACTAAAAACCTAAGATAATGTCACTTTAGTTTCGATCTAGCTCTCAAATTTAAGTTAAAGCTTGACATCTCCAATTGTTTTCAGCTCTAAAGGAGGCGACTTGCATCTGAATATAATTCTTAGAAAATTAAATTCAAACTTGAGGTGAATAAGTTTAGATCTGCGCCAGAGATAGCCGAACAACATAGTCAAAGCAGATCTTCTCGTTTAATGCAAATTTGAAAGATTGAGAAATTAAAAGAGAAAAGCTGACCATTTTTTTCTCGTTTGGCAAGATTTTCTCAGAAAATATCGGATTCTTGTTTGGCAGAACTTCTCGACTGTAGCTGATAGTAAGGGGCATGTTTTAATTTATTGAAAATTACTACATAGAAAACAAGATAGACCATTGCATGATCAACCACCCTTTTGCTCATATTGTTTACGAATATTAGCATCAAATATCTTGAAATTATTATTCAAATTCTAAATTATTCTCAAAGCTTAAAACATTTTAATTTATTCCTCGATATATAATTTAAGTATAAAATATAAATTCAAATCTAAGTGCACAAATGGTCCTCCAATTATATGGTGATGTTTTGTTAACTCTCATGACTATTAAAAGTTACAAAATGATTTTGTGAGTAGTCGGGGAAAAGAATGAGTTCGGAACATATAAATAGTTTAGGTGATCATTTTATAACTTTGAATAGTTAGAAGACTCAATAAAATAATATCCTATAGTTGAGGGACTATTTGTATACTTTACCCTTAAATCTTACATAAAATATATTTAAAATTCATAAATTAAATTATAATCATGTGTCCTTACAACATGAATAGCTTCGATCAGATCTATTAAGCTTGATAATAAGTGATGATCGTTAAATATTTGAACCCACTATTAGTATTGGACTAGTCAAGCCGTATCCAATGTCGGAAGGAAAATCTGTAAATTACATAGTAAGTCATTGAACTATACTTAAATAATTATTTTGATCATTGAATTTTCAGAGATTACAAAATGATCATTGAATTTAAAAGTTTCTAAATTTATAAAATATACATATCTATTTTGTAACCTTATAACTTTCGAAAGTTTAATGAGCTTGACCTATATGCTTTACCTAAAGATATAGATAGTGGGTGTTTCAATAGATTGTCACCCACTTACCTGAAAAATGACCCTTCAGACCCTCTGTTTGAAATTTGCTGCATTCAATGCAATATTCAAACTCTCACTTTCTATGTTCAAACATCCTAGGACCCTGTCTCTTCTCAAAACATTTTACATGCAGAATGCCTTGTTTTCGCAAACCGGAGGCCGGCAAAAATAGAAAGAAAGAAAGAAAAACCATGGTATTAGTCCATTATCAGTGATTGTTCTAAAGATTTACTTGTAGATAACAAAATGTTGTAACAGGAAGTTTTGGAAGAAGAAAAATTAATGAGGGCGATAAGCCATCAACTTTTGACCATTTTTATGAGAGAACCTTTGTGGATTATACAATGCTTCAGACTTTTTCGACCACAGATGTTAACCTTCAACGGGCACTGGCCGGTGAGAATGTTTTTGAATCAAAGCAAATCGTTATCCGTCATCAAATACCTGGAAAGAAAACATTTGGTTATGATCAGAATAAGAACTGATAAAATGTAAACCAGATGTAATTACATGCAGAGCCTTATCCCAAAAGCTTGTTGGGGAAATCAAACGATTCTAATCTAATTCTCTATGAGTTTGCTCATTGAATAATCAGATTGCAAACTAGGTAAACAACATTCAACCGGACAACGGAAATTTTCAAGGGTTCGGTTGGTTTCGATGAACATGAAATGCACAAACTAGTTAAAATCAAAAATGATTCTTCAGTTCATAACTTCATACACAACTCCATTCTTAGAAGGAAGGCATTCAAAATCCCAATTACATATACTCAACTAAGCAAAAACGATCATATCATCATAATCTTAGTCGATCGTCGTGTTTTCGTTTTTCAATAGTCTGAACAGAGACAAAGAGGCAAACGCAAAAACACCAACATCAGATAAAAAATGCAGATCAAATCAGAAGAAATTCAGGGAAAAAGGAGCCAGAGTTCGAACCTGAGATGTTACTGGTGTTGGTAGGTGGTACAACAACAAGTTCACCATTAATACACAAACCCTAAATCATCAAACAACCACCTAAACCTAAAAAATGCAACAAAATACAGCAACATGCAAAGTGTTTTCTTCCTTCATATTTCCGGTAAAAACTTACCTAAAAATTCGATGAATCTTCAATTCCTATTTTGACTCTGACGCAGGCTTTTGCAACAAAGCAGTCAAGTAAACTTCCCCATGTTTCAAACCACTGAGATCTGTCTTGTTAGCCACTGCCCACTTCACTTTCTTATACCCAAGCTTCCCTATCAATGGCCCATAAATTTTCTCCAGATCACCGCTTTGCTAAAGAACCGATCCACCCACAATACCCTCCGGCTCTCAACACTCTATCCACGTCATAGAACATGAATTCCATCACCGACACCGGTATCCACCGGTTCACGGCCTCCACACCGAACCAGATCCATCGTGCCGTCGAAAACCGGAACCTCTCTGCAACGGCACGTGTAAAGGCACCAACCCTCGTAGAGCCACGGCCTCGTTGTAAGGTGCATTGACATTCATGGTGGTGGTCAGGATGGTGACGTTGTAGGATTTCTTCATTACGGCGGCGAAGGTTCCGATGCCACCGCCTATTTCGATGCCGAGACGGATCGCCGAGTTAGCCGACTTAGCCAATTGCATGAACTGCGAGATGGGAAGATCGAGCTCGGAAGTGTAACTCAGCAACGAAGAGCGTTGAGCGTCGAGATCGAAGCTTGTGGGGTTGTTTTGCAAAAGACAAGCAAATGATTTACACGAGTATTTATTCCATATGACGCCGGAATCGGGAGGAAAATCGGGAAAGGGGTTAAAGGCAGAGAAGAAGGTGGTTTCGACGGGGTTTTCGAAAAGCACCGTCTCCGTGGAAGCGGGTGGCAGCCGTTGAGAATAAGCGTTTCCTGGAGGTCGGGATCGAAAGGGCAAGTCGAAAAGGGAGAGTAATTCATGTATCTATGGAGAAGGTCGGGGTGGTTATGCAGGAGGAAGCATGGGGCCGATCTGGGAATGAAGGGTAAGATCTAGAGGTACGACGGAACTGGGATTCAACGTCGAGGCGGCAGGGAATGGGTTGTGGCGCACGAGGTGGTTAATGGCGGCGCGTATGGTGTTCAGCTGCCTTATGAGGTGGTCGGGAACGGGGGAAGGAAGCGGAGGCTTGGGGGATTGAACGGTGGAGGAGAGATGATAAAGGAGAGGATGGTGGCCACCATGACCAAGAGGAGAATGAATTCAAACCCATTGTGAAGCCCATTGAATTTTCTCCGATCGTCTTTACAGTTCTACTAAGTTTTACTTCTTTGCTTCTAAGATGCTTCGATTCTTGGGTTTTCTGTATTTTCGATCTTCGTGCTACACTTGCCTTGTTTCCAGAGGTTTTAAGCTTGGTTTTAAGCTCAATTTTCACCGACTCCTCCCTCCCGTTTCTGGGTTTCAGCACGGGTTTGTTTCTCTTACCAGCTTTGGCCTTTTGTGTACTGTTTGGGTTTTAATTAGATGTGGATTGATATACACTTCTTGGGTGGGGCTTCAGATTCGATCTGGGAGGTTGAATTTGAACCGTTGGTTACAGTCAAGTGGGGTCATCAAATCTAATTTCGGGAATGAATAAAATCCAAAGGAAAATGACGTTTGTTGCAAATTGCATTGCCATTGGTAAAAGGAAAACAATAGATAAAATGGGTTTGATTCTTGAACATTTCTCTTCATTTATAAATGTGTTTGGAATAAAATTATTAGCCTTACCATTCTTACTTTTAGTTAAAATGTTTAAGATTCTTAATATAATCTTCAAAGATAATTAAATCGTTGTCGTTTCTTTAATCGAAAATTTTACAACTTTTATGAGCCTTCGAAGTTCTATATCATTCGGATGGTTACAATATCTTAATATGATCATAACAAGTCCATGTAAATATTCATTCAAATTTATTACGTGATAGTTATTTCTATCAAATATGTCAACCTATAAATATTTATAATAATCATGTCTCGTACCAAAATTAAAGGTCAATATATAGATCATCATGTCAAATTGAATTCCATCTCTATCCATACCCATTCATATTTTTAGTTCATTTACATCTCACTTCCTTTCTAAGATCATCGATTGTATCATCTAGTACATACATACTACAAATGTAACTACTAAAGTCTATTTTTTAAAAATAATATTTTTTTATCACTAAAATTATTTAATAAATTTTAAAATTAACGAAATTTTATACAAATATTCGTTGAAGATAATTCAGGGGAAAAAGGACTTAGATAAAGTGTTAGAGATTTTTTTTCTTCCAATTAGAGTGTTATAGTACATGTAGAAAGATGTTTGAACCACTTGGCGATCTCTAGAATTAGTTCGTACGACCCTGTAGACACTCATTTCCGTCCATATTTTTACACGCCCAATCAAATGTTACATCCCAACAACCTATTCCACGTGACACATACAGTGGGTGACCCAAATCCACGCTGACCCAAACTCGCGCCTGGACCCAGACTTGCTCGAACCGAACCAAACCAGCTGGTACCCAGGACCCGCTCCAAGCCAAGTGTGAAATCCCATCTCGCGAGCCTTCCTCACGCCGCACGTTTCTCACCCACGACCAGACTTCACGGCAACGCACCATCAAATCCCGAAATGTCCGGCGCTCATCACCAACAAACAAAAGACGTTTAGTTCCATTAGGATTTGTGTAAACTAAAAATAGAATTATTTTTTGTATAAATAAGCTGGTAAATCACTATTGTAAAGGGGGATACGAAATGCAAAGCAAAAATTACGAGCAACACACCATTATACACAAGAAATACATTCAAGTCACACAGAAAAATACCAAAAAAATCCAATACCAGCAGTCAAAACACATTTTCAGCAATAAAAAAAATAGAATCGAAAGCAAAATTCAAATATATAGGGAGTTGGTTACCTTGTTTCGGTGTTCGTCGGAGTAGGGTGTGGCTGTCGTTGGGTCTTGAGTCGAGTGGTCGGTGTGGCTTTCGGATTCACCAAGAGATTTCGTCGCCTGCCGTGGGTGGAGAGCGAAAAGAGAAGGAAAAAGGCTAGGGCTCTGTTAAAGTTTCGTGCAGATTGAAAATTGGAGGAGGATGAGTGTTTTACTTTAGATTTTGGGTTTATCTCATCTAGGGTCCCTCCATTTC